CAGCTAACCGCTATACTCGGCAGGGTTTTGTTTCGTTCAGGCCCCTTAATCAATGACTCGCGTGTTCCCATGGTCACGACACAATGGACTTAATTCGCTGGATTGCGAGCATTTTGATAAATAGCTTTACAGCTTTTACAACAGCAGCTCTCTTACAGCGCGTGTCCGGGGGATAGGCTAGGTACGGTAAGCCCAGTAAAAAAACTGCATGTTATGAATACTGCTGGATGAAAGGAGCAGCATAATTTGGCACAAGAATCAACCCTGTTCCAATGCACGGGAGGGTCCGAGGGTGGCTTTGCCTTTCACGTTTTTCGGACAAATGAGCCACCTGACATGTGTCATTGCATTGCGGTGATGGTTGAGCTATTACAGAACAATTCGCAAAGGGAAGCCTAGAATTGTTCATCATGGTCCCTCCGATTCGGACGACATCCGGCACACGTACCCACTAGATCACAGAGTACAAGATGTAGGTCACGGAATTTTCGGGGACGTCTGGAAACTTCAACCAGACAATAACGTGCATACATGCAATGGCTGCTTAGACATGAATAAATCAGCATGTCACTTGACAGCAAATAATCTCCTGAGTCATTAAACAAATGACCATGAGCACTATTGGTCATTTTACCTATGACCTCATAATCTTGTATTGCACCGTCACCTTTCGAAATTGTCCAATCATTATTTTTTGTTTCGTTTTTCTCCTGAAGGATGTCCAGCACATCGCCTGCATGATCATATGCAGTTTTATTTCCAACGCAATTATCTGGAGTGTCACCGGGGTCAACATAGGGGTCATGATGTGGGTCTGATCGTATTTCTAGTTCATGAGACGTGAAATACAGGCGATAAGGGTGTGTGTATAGGCTCATCGCCCAAAAAATACGTTGATGATATCGTCAAGTGTGCGAGAGGTCAGGCAGGTCACACGCATCAGTCAATGTTTTGACCTGGGATAATGGTGGTGGGTAATACATAGTGGCCAGTCGACGTCGGTATCATTCGCAGGTCTATTTGGGACTAAAATGGTGAATGCTTAATCAAGAAGACCAAAAACGCGAGTAGATGCAACAATAGTTTTCGGTATCCTGGCACCATGGCCAGCAATAATTCTGGCCCTGACAAAGACTGGTACCGGCTGGACACTTGCATGTGACTCAGGTTCAGGTGCGCCAGGACCCGACAAACTGCTGGCTCTGCAGCCGGTCGGGTCGGTTGTCGGAATTATCTATCGCTGCAAACTTTTGCATCTCTGCTTTGGAACGTACAACAATGCGTCCGTGACCCGATCTTTACAGAAGGTGGCTGAAAAAATCATGCTGGTCGCGATAGAAGTGTCGGCGAAATGAAAAAAATGGCATTGCGTGACGCATTTGTGCAAGGAAAATCAGCGGAAGGAATGTGTGAGCGAATAGCTGTTTACCCTAGACAACATGAAGGATAATGCATACACGGGATCATTCATTTTTAAGAAATGTATTACAGCTGAACGGTGCACCTTCGTTGATATTCTCCACTATATGAGTCTGAATCCTCGCTCAGCGAAGCAAAAGACCAGCTGGCGTTTCATCACATGGGGTCAAAGCACAATCCCTGTCACGCATTTAGTTGCGTGACCCTGCTTCCGGTCAAAGACGGCGCTGACCGGTCATGGGTTCGGAACATTTCACATCCGTTGTACCGAAGGCAGCGCGGGGTCTCAGAGCCACAACACTCAGTGCTCGCTGCCTCCATTTGTGCATTAAGCGAGGGATTGCTACCACAACTTTCGTGTAGTATCTGACTCCCTGGTGGGTGGACAACCCAGCTGTGGTGGCAGCAGTTAAATCTGCTTCAATGCCGGCATCGGCACGTTTGATACAAAACCTACATCCTGGTCTATAGAAACTGCACAGCTCTTGGGACGGGTGCTCAGGTAGTTCAAGAACAGAGCTAACTTTGCAAATATTCGTCATGAGATACTTTTGGGCTTTAATGTAATTGGCTTTTTTGCTACTTCGCACCACGGTTTCGAGTCTTGTGCCAAAAGATAAATCGATGCACAAATAAGTCTTCTTTGTCAGCCTAAAAGAGGCTATCGAAGATGGCAAAGGAATTGGACGCGCGTTTTCGCACCACGCGGCACGCGAAAACAGTCGAAACGCAGCGCCGCTCAGCACCTTTATATTGATAAAAGGTAGCACCATGCTGGTCAACATCTTCAGGGGTCAGCGTGTGCACGCTGTCACGCAACTGCCGCCAACGACTTATTATTGTGTTTCAGCATCAAATGCTTGCGAAGCTTCCACGCGAAATGATGCGCCTCATGCGTGAAAATATACATGCACTTGCGTGCTGTGTGTAATGCATTTTATCATGTGGACCGAATTTGTCGCTATAAATGTTTGTGGTGCAAGAACATATGAAGGAATCATCACACTGACACACATTGCCCAAGTGACCACAAAAATACAACATTGCTATCAGACGCATTCACGAATAAGATCTCCTTTCACTAATCCGCCCGCTACCCATGGACCGTGCGCATAACCATCCACTGCTCATGAGCTGTGCACATACCCATCCATGGGCTGCGCACATACCCATGCGCTACCCATGGGCTGCGCACATACCCATGCGCTGCCATGGGCTGTGCACATACCCATGCGATAACCCGTCCTCTTCAGATATCCCCACTCCTGATCCACCCGTTTGAATTTCGCAAGCACATTAGATGTGAATTGTAGAGATATTTGATGAGTGGTCACAACGAAACATGTTTGGAAACTATTTATTTTTGTGATTCGTGTAAATTTCATGAGGTGTCTGTAATTTTATTAAAATAGGTAACCAGCCCAACTCATAATCCATTCAATGCGGCCATCCGTTGGTTTAAACAGCCCGTTAAGTCCTCCAAATGCCATTTCCTCACAAAGCAACACAAAAGCTCACATTGCTAGACTACATTGCAATACCCGCATATGTAGGTGATGAACAATATAATCCGCTGTACATTTGTGGCATTAAAACCGTTCAGTTCCGCGCGTCGTCATGTTATGCTAAAAGGCGTCATTGCGCCTTTTAGCCAACCAATGCGCATGTCGACTAGATATACACAATTTAATGTCGTCACTTGACTGACACGCAATCGTCGGCATCTCCCACCTACGCAAAAAATATCACCAACGTGTTGATGGGGCGACGAGCTTTCAACTGATATCCATATGGGCTGTGTTGCATGCCACGCACACCGAGTGATTAGTGACGAAACTACTTTTGGAGTTTTCGAAACTGTTCCTTTGGCACATCGGGTATGGAGTGGCAAGGGTCATATCCGGCCTCTCTCCCACTAAGTTGTTGGATCTATGTTCCAGCCCCAGGTACGCCTGACCCCCTGATGGTTCTTACACCACATAAATAAATTCCGAGACGTGATTTCATCGTATTTGCTGAAAATACTGGGATGTCCTTTACGCAGAAATATTTTGTCCAAATACGGTCTTTACGTTTGAAAACATTTGTTGCGATTATATCCTTATACCTGTGCGTGCATGGGGGAGCCCCAAATAAACAGAGGCGCAAACACAATAACAACAGCTTCCCTGATGTCTTGGGCGCGGGGAAGGAGATTTTTACCTTGGTTTTTTTTACGAACGCTGTAGGGTGAAGTTACATTTCCCACAAAGTAGAGCTCCCCCAACACACACACACACCCACACGCGCACGCGCGCACACACCACCACACACACACACACACACCACACACACAACACACACACACACACACAGCCACACCACACACACACTCACACACGCACACGCACACGCACACGACACACGCACACGTCACGCACACAGGCGCACCGCCACACGCACACGCACGACGGCACACGCACCACGCGCACGCACGCACGCGCACGCGCACGCGCACGCGCACGCGCACGCACACGCACACGCACATGCACACGCACACAGAAACACACCCTGCTTCCGCCATCCGTGGTCGATCGTACACCTATTGTTCGAGGCCGTTTACGCCACCAAGGACATTCGGAGTTGGGAGTCCTGTAACGCCGCTCGCAGGAGTGGCTGAAGCAGATCCAAGAGGCGCAAGCCACGAAGCAAATGGCGCGACGAGCGCCACTTGGACCGCAGCAGCACGCCTCGCATGGCCGCCAGTATCGCTGCCCAGCAGCGGGCCGCGAGCGACCAGTGCTCAGGACGTGCGAGCGAGCGCAGATCGTGGTGCCCAGGTGCGGTTTGCCGACCATGGTGACGGCGGCAGGGCAACGGACACTTCCCAAAGAACGCAAATACACACAGCACTCACCAAGGAGAAGAACAAAGCAGATGGCGAACCGGATCTCAAACTTCTGTCGGCATACCTCGTATATGCCGTACAGCGGCGGCAGGATCATGGCCAGGTTGCTGACCGTGTTCCCTGGCAAGAGCGGGGCGGAGGGGTTTCAGCGAAAGAAACTGCTGCACGCACTGGTGACGCGCGATGCGAGACATAACATGGAACGATGACTTTCAATACAACGACCGAAACGGTGGGACAGCACAGCCCACACGCGTCAACGTTAGCGAAAACGGAAGAACGCAACGGACGCACTGTGGCAGGCCCATCCAGCAGCATTCTTCGACGAAGGACTGCAAGTAAATCCCCCACCTTATCTGCCCCTCCGGAGCTCATGCGACTAAAAAAACTGACGTCCAACAAAACCATAAACCCATCTGTCACAAGTCTCGCGATCATCGTAATCAAACATGCCTTCTGCCTGATTCAGATCAGGCCAAAACGACGCTCCACTGGTGCAAAAAACAGATGCTGGGTCGGGCGTGACCACAAGCTATTCTCATTACTAAACCATTCATCATCGGCATTATAGCCGCTATTGGTCGCCTTGGTTGCTGCTACTACTATAACTAAACTCGTGTGCGGTCTTTTTGAAAGTGCCCAATTAATCTGCCATATAAGCGACGGCTCAGCTGCATTGCATCCAGCTACACTAATCCCCCCCCCCCTAATATTGCATGCAGGTTGCAACCAACATCTGCTCATTTTGTTTGTGTTCAATTGCCAAGCGTTTGTCTCCACTTTCGAATGCAGCAGTCCTTTTCTATGCGCAGAAGTCTCTAATGATTGCTGTCACAGAACGCACGCAAGTGTGTCAAGTCCACAAAACGGATAAATCTACAAACCACTATTTGTCACATTATGAAGCCGCGATGAAGACTCACAGAACTCGGCGATGTAGCTGCTGACCACGTAGTTGGCTTCACACCAGTCGAGTGTTGATGTGGGCTGGCCCCAGAAGCCGTCCACAGGAGCCATCGTGCTCGGTTGGTGAGGCCTTCAGACTCTGGCAAAAACAAATGCAGCATAACATCAGACCAGTCATTTGGACTGCGAATGCATCACAGCGAGGTATTGCCGGAACGCAGTCCATACAGTGCATACGTCCATGCCTTACCCCCACACAAAATCATAAATCCACGGGAAATGCGATAGGTGTCACTGTGCATTGATTCCATGGAATAGACCAAGTGTGATCTATCGGATCAATGGAACAGGCAAGCAGCATTCTCTCCAAAATTAGGAATGTGTTTTCATCGGGCCGTCACGTTCCTTTGATAACTCCCTTCGTTTGGGTGGGTGGGGTCAATCAGCAGAGCGAAATCACGATGAGCACCATAATCACTAGCTTGTGTTCCTTCTCATTTTCAGTGCGTGTTTGCAAACGTATCTTGCCTTTATGTGTCCACGTGTCCACTGTACAAGAATATGTTCCTGAACTGTTTTTATTAGCTGCTAGCCATCATATTTTGAATAATAGAGAAACCTAAAACATGAATATTGGAGGAGCCTAAGACATCTTGACCCGGCATTAGCACAGTATAACTAAGCAGTCAATCGATTTTCGGTTCAGAGCACAACAGAAGAGCACCAAGTAGTATCAAAAGACTCGCATGTTAAAACATCGAGTATTTTGGAGCAGCCCCTCCAATGGGGATTCTTCAAAACAAGAACGCCTTTCGGCGCGCGGGCCGACTCCCAAACCGAACGCGAGGGAGACAGGATACAGTATAACATGATTCCAGCCGCTGAAGATCGATTGGGGCAAAACCGTCCACTGCTGACGGTATTTTGAAACCCCCTTTCCCGGTGAATTAATAAAAAGCTCGCCAATCCGCGCATACTGGTCCACATACAGGGGGCGAGCAAGTGTGGAAGATCGGGTTCAGGTGCATCGTGACCCAGGGGTCGCCAAAGGCCAAAATCGGATGGGAGCGTGTTGGGCGCTGCCAAATCTTTTCATAAACGTGTGATTCTAAGCAACTTCACATGCTTCCCGACTAATATTTCTAAACTTAGCGAGATTTGATATTATTATGAGAGGACTTGAGCTCTTGGTTTTACAGTACTGCGGGTCGGGAGTTCCCGTTCTGACACTAATCGGCCCTCACTTTACCAGCACGTCCTGGTTAAGCGACCTCGTTAGGGAAGACACAACTGCACTGACAGAATCTGACGCTTCAAGCTGCGTCCATGACCTTGTGATAGTGAACACGGCTTGAAATGTCTGGTTTTTGTCAAAATAGCCAATGCCTTCAGGACAACGTCGCTTAACCACCTGGCATATTACAGGCCAATTATGGCCAATAATAATTCCAACTGTTCGGGAGACTGCTTTGGAGTCTTGTGTTTCCTTTTCATCCCATCTGCACATTCGCTCAATATTGTGAAGCCACATCGCGGTCAGCGACGACTCCCGGGATGGGGGGGGGGGGGGGCGTACAGCCATGGTCGAAAAATGGTTTAATTTCGCGAGTGAAACTGCGTTAAAAAATATGACTGCTGGAAGTCCCCACTTTCCAATATAATTTTGGTAGCCACAACAATATCAGTATAATAAATTAAAGAAGAGTACAAGTAATGGATATGTGCATCCGACTGTACCGCATAAGGCGCTCGGTGTCAACACATTAAACGCCAAACATCTGACGGTAACAAATGTTATAACATTCTAATATACACACACATGCACACGCATGCGCACATGCCCACATGCACGCACATACACACTCACAACACACACACATACATACATATACGCCCCCACCCCCCATCCCCACACACACACACACACGACAGAAACTAGTATGCGCGGCGAATCAGATGTGGTTCCGCGTCATGCCTTCTGATGCGGGCCGTTGTGAGCTGGCTTCGTCCGATCATGTCGTCGGTGTTTTAGATCACTTATGCGAAAGGAAGCAGGTTTCCGAGGCCCAGCATGTCTCCCCGGCTTTCTTGTGTTGCTTGGGCTCCATAAAACTTCTCCGGTTCATCTCATGTTTCTGAGGCCCTAATGCATTTAGGCGTCCTTGCAGGTTCGTAGCCAGAATTTTTCCCAGGGCGCGGGGGAGGACATCGAAGTTTCTCTGAACTCACGCGAATTTGGACCGAATTCTTGCAGAATCTGTCAGTATCTTGTGTAAGCCTCGTGGCTTGTGGGACTGGGCGGGCATCATACCCATGACCCCCCTTCCTCCGTCCCCCGTCTCCATGATCTAACTTGGGGGTCCTCGTGCCCTTGGGGTCCTAAACCTTTTCGGGCTCCTGATGCTTCCGCAGTCGCCTCAAGCTTCTCGCCCTACGATGTTCTGGGTCGTGACATATTGAGGATATCCTGGTGTTTCTGAGGACCTCTGATGTTTTGGGGTCCTGTGATGCGTCTGGAGCTCCATAATACTTATGGCAACATCGTGCTTTTGGGGCACCCTGATGCTTCTGGGCCATGAACTTCTGATATTCTGGGATTGTTCCTGGTACTTTTGGGTAATCGAGACAATCTTGCTCCTATTCACTCATGCATGTTGGAGAAATCCCGATGCACCCGAGGGACCCCTAGCGATTGCCCATAAGGGCCATCTGACACTTCTGTTACTCCTCCTACATAAAAGGGCACGCTGCTTTTAGGTCTGGCAATGTGCTTGGGCCATCGAAATTTTTGTGCGGTCCTTCTCATTGTGTGCGGACAGGCAGACCCCAAAACGTTTTGCCCCCTGCGGAGGCCCCATACGGATCCCAAATGAGACCAAGGTCCATTCCCGGATCCGTCCCTGAACATAAACGCCCACTTTTCCTGACGGTATTTAAGACAAAGTTGCGACAGATTAATCGACACTGCGCCGTAATAGCATTGCAACCAATTAGAACAAAATTAGCTGAAAATGCAACAAACGGCTAATTGCTCCACAACAGCGTGCAACACTTCATTGCATACCGAGCGAACAGGACTTTTCGTTGTTGAATGGAATTACACACATGAAGACCGATAAATTAGGACACTATTTAGTTCGTGAAGGCATAATGACATGCATGCAGGAAGAGATACCTACTGCATAACAGTCCACAACACCTAATTGCATGCCGAGCAAAACGGGCTTTTCATTGTTGAATGGAGTTACATTCAAGGTCGACAATTAAGAACTTTTTAGTTCATGCAGGCACACTGACACATGCTAGTACACCTAGTTGTATAACGCACCTGGTGAAACCCATATTGTGGGATCTCTCGTGATAGATTATCCAACAACTGCTCGCGAAACTCTTGCCGGACCACACTGTCTAATCTCAATGGCAAAGGATAGCCAGGGACTGCAGCATTCATCAAGGCAACATGTATAAATCAGCTGACTGTTCAGTAATGGTCGGCTAGCTCTAAAATACTGTGAAAAACTTCACGCATGCACACTAGAAATATCAGGCGCACAAATCAGACTGTACAAATTTTACATTAAACACTGGACATCCGACATCGCAACTTGAACCATGGGAAAGAAAATGTCTACCCAGTATAAATCCACTTTTAAGACACTACGAAACAACTACCACACCGCAACATGTTTAAGGGAACGATACGGAGGGAGGAATGGTCGTAGGGAATATGTCACGCTCCACGATTGTCCTGACTTTGGGCGGCGTAAAATGCAGTTCTCTTTTGCTGGAAAAGTCGGCCAAAAAGGGTTAAGTTTTTCCCTAATCATCTTCGCTGGATCCACCGCTAATATACCAGTAAATTGCTGTCAACCAGCTTACCGCGCGTCTGAATGTATTATCATTTATGCGCCGTTCACTGGGCAGATGCCGGGTCAAGACCAAGGAGCATTGCCGAAGGTGCGCATGAATGCAGTGACGCCTCATGTGTAGAAAGACGACTTAAGTGGGTGCGCTTAACGCATTTTAGTCCTGGCACAGACGAAGGAACGTCACTCGGAATGTCATAGAAGATTTCGTGTTGCAACCCTTTGAACTCAATGCTCCAGTATGACTGTAATTGGTCGTTCTGTACGCTGCTGGAATCGGGCACTCTTTGGGAATGAAATCCGCGGTCAGCAAACCTTTAGTGATCAATCTTATCCGCTCAGCCTGCACCTTGGAATGCAGTCACCTTACACTAAAATGTACATTCCCCATTTGTAGAACACAGATTTGGTCGAAATTTTTTGATTCAATCGACATCCCGACTCAGCGCTCACACCATGCAGTGCCTGTTGTGTACGACCAAACGACCACCCGATTGCACCATTCACGACCATCCTATCGTGAAATTCCCGTGAAATGGCTGCATCTCGAGGCGAAACTTTGAGGTGTCGCAGTGCTTGGCACGGTCCACATGTGACCTCCCTCACCTGACGTGGACCGCCCGCAGCCACTGACCACCCAGTCAGGGGCAAATAACAGCGCATACAACAACCCGAACCATCACCCCCGCCAAGGGTGGCATGGCTGGAGATCTCGTGAGAGCCAGAAGATCCAGACCCCCTGGGCCCAGTAACCTACAATCTCGGAGTGATTCAGGCGGGGGGGGGGGGGTCAAGTCTCAGGGGACCGATTATTTTTCGGCTCATAAAGCGCGAAGAAAAAATGGCCGTGAAAAATGTTACGAGCTGAAAAGCTGTCTTACGCCGGAATAAGAATTCAGATAACTTTATGGTCATACCACAGCCAGGGGCGCCGCTAGAGCCTTAGTAAAGAGGGAACACAGGGTGGGCAGCCCTCCCCCGACCCCGGATTTAGTGCACTTGGTTTCAAGGGGGTCCCATTTTCCTCATTTATTTTTGATCATTGGCCTTTACTGAAGCAGAAGCCAAAAGTCACGGGAAGATGTAATTCAGTTTGTAGGCTAAAGTCAACAAATCAAGAAACCGGGCCATAAGAAATCCATAGAATAAACCGACGACGTTATATCTTTTGCAATGAGCCAGCGGACTCTCTCCAAACCAATAGCAATATATGGCTGTGCTGGACCTCGTCGGGGTTATATATATATATATATATATATATATATATATATATATATATTATATATATATATATATATATATATATATATATTTGTTGAGACCCACCGATTGAATGTAGGTTATGGACCGAAACGAGGTTAAAAGTTGTATTGACACAACCAATCGATGTTCGTCTGAACATTTCCATCCTGCATCCAGAAGGGGCCGTGAAAAATTATGTATTTTTCTTACAGCCCTAAGGATACTCATGATTCGCCGTACATGACACCAGTCTGACCCGTAGCTCAAGGAGTCAGAGCGCCTGACTACCAACCGTTTTTCCCAAAAGGCTCTACTTTTAAAACCAATATCGAAGGGACTTCTTAACAATAAAATGGTCCCAAACCCAGAGATGCCAAATTGACTGGTGGTGGGGGGCGTTCCCGTTGAACTGGGCCGAGTGGTCCAGTGCTCCTGGGTCCGGTGCCTCTGGCTCTCTATTCTCCAGGGATGCAGTTTCCTTTTCAGTTGGAGGCTTTCAATCCCCCGCCCAGCCCGCTAAAATGGGCGCTAGCCCTCCCCCACACTTTGAGAATAAAGTGGGCCAAATATAAAAGAAACCTGCTTTTTTATATTTCATAGGAAGTTTGGCTCATTTCTCACCGTTCAGCCCCCCCCCAAAAAAAAATTAATTTGTGAAACTACGCCCCTGCTCCTGTCCCTTTTACCCCCCTCCCCCCTCCCCACATACTTATTGAGAGCAGTCACCAGCCCTGACGGGCCGGATAGAACACAGATACATTAACAGATCGACGCAGGGGGCGGACCTCGCATGCATGGCGAGAACGTATCCAAAGGGGCGGGGCAGGGCACTTGGCACTTGGGATCGTTTCTTGTCATGCACCGGTATGAACCCGGCGCCAAAGTATTCCCAAATTCGGGACCCGAGCCCCTCCCCCTCAAAGTTCCAATAACACGGTAGTTATCGCGTTCTTCCCAATGGACCACGGGTCGTGGTTTCAAGATTACGGATAACACCCCAATTTCTGCTTGCAACGCTTAGTTTTAGTGCCATTGGCACAGCGATTGTAGTTTGCCAGTCCGTGAACGGGCATGAGGCCCAACTTAACTCCGACCCTGGTCCTGGCAGTGATCTAAAATGGTAGGAAGACTTGTAGTTAAAACTAAACATCTTGGAAGCATTTCATTGTTGCCAGTTGCTGCTAGTCCTTGCCAATTATGGTTTCTGCCGTGCGACGTCAACCTGTCCGACCGGCTGGCCGTCTGCTTAAGGCAGCTTTCGTTAACCGTGTTCAAACGATTTACCTTTGCCAATTGAAATCCGCTTCCGGATTCCAGAAGGTTTAATCTCACTTGGTTTAATCTCTCAATCTCACTCTCATCTTAGTCGAACGATGAGGAGAGCTTATGCTTGTCACAATGGAAGCTTAACACATTATTTGCACGGTTGCTCGACAATCATGATTCGCTGTTGTCAGTTCCGATTTGCAGCATTGGAGATTGAGTTCACCTGCAAGTAATGCCATGGTAATGTATTAATATGTTTATCTAGGTGGGGGAATGCGGCCTATTGTAAGCTCTGAACGACCAGGCTGTCAGGATGGTTCAAGCCCTGGCCCGGGGCGGGGGCAAACCATGAGCCTGATAAAATGAACGGGTTTAATGAGCTTTCCATGCCAATGCATCACGTAAAGATGAAAGTATAGCGTCATGCAGCTGTCGTGGCCGTTATCATATACGCCATCGCCAGCTTAAACGGTCTGCTGTCGCCTCTGCTATGCTGTCGACTAATGAGGAAGCGAAGATAGCCGGCGCGCGTCATTTGTTTGAATGGGGCGATGCGGCCAAGGCCGTAACGGTGTGTCACATGCGATCGTGCACGAGTAAAAACGGGTCTCCACCTGTTGTGCACCAAACGCGGGAGCCAAACAGGTTAATCATTCCCCCCGTGTCAAGAGGTAGCACAGCAGTGTGTCCCGGCGTGCACCGACGGCTAGGGAAGCCACAGGTAGCCGCCGCTGGTTGTGGGAGGCGGGCTGGCTGCCGCTCGACCACCTGAGCCACGCGAGTACGGAATTCAAGGACGGGGCCTTAAGCCTTGAGGTGAGCGGGGGGGGGGGGGGGGGCGGGCAGAGGATGACGTGGCCTTTCATGAACAGACGAAACAAACATCCTGCTGAAGTTCTTTCAGTTGTGGACAGTTGCTACGCTAGTCCCGTGCCCGTCCCCACACGTCTTTGAGCGCGACTGACCTTGGTAGGCGCCGAAAATAGGGGTGCCACCGCCACCCCACGCCCACGCCCGCAGGCTAGCCTCACTGCCTCGCTCGGGCCGCTCACGACCCGGTCAAAAATAGCGGCCACGTGAGGGACCGGTTGCGCTCACACGACGCGCAGACACGAGCACTCACGTGCGGGCAAGTGGCGGCGTCCTTTCCACCACGCGCTGTCGTCCCCGGCACTCGCGAACGACTGTACCAAGCCGAGTCACACGCGCTCACCGCCCACAGCTGCCGCCGCCGACCACCGCCTCGCACTGGCACAGTCCCACGCGGCGGCCCGCTGCACGAGCGAACGTCGATAGTTGGCTATGTGGCCGTCTGGCGGCAGCACCGACGCGCTCCGTTGGGCGCTAAGCGCGCTGTACGGACAGAAAGTCGAATAGAATAGTCAAACAACAAAGTCGAACCCCAAAAAGTCGACAAGGATATAGGTCGATAAGAATAAAAAGTAGTCAGAAAAGTGAAAGGGTGTAAAAATCAACGGGGTAAAAATCTAAACCCAAAAGTCGAAAGACTGGCGTGACAGTCAAGTCAGAGAAGAATCAAAGGAATAAAGTAAACGTCGACAGAGATTTAGACACCGGATGAAGGACTGGTGGCAACCGTGGTGTTTGTGGAAAGCCAATGGGAGCCAGGGACTAGGTTCTAGCTTTATAAAGAAACTAGTAGAAACCAGGAAGCCATAAAATTGGCAAGCACAAAGATGATAAGCTAAGATAAGCACAAAGATAAGCTAGTGGGACTGCAGGTGGTTATGGGCATGGTGGGTTTGGCGGGACCATGGCTCCCGTTGGTTCTGGCATTTTGGTCAGGGGCTAAAAATTTAATGCCACTGGGGCTGCGTTTCTTTGGATAATGACAATAGCCGGACGCTGCTAGAGCCAAGCAATCTCCCGTCAATCGTCCGTCGATGAAATCATCCAGCCCCAAGGCCAGACAGTCGGAGAGCGGGCAGCTCCATAGCTCCGGCCACTACCGACCTCTTGATGCGCTCAGTCACAGCGGCTCGGGAGCGGAGCAACGGCCGGACCACCACCGTGGCACGGGGGCCGTGTAGGGCCCTAAAGACGTTTATGTGGCCGCGGCGCGTAACAAGGTCACTCGTGCCGCGCCAGGCCAGCGACCTTGAGGCTGGTGGAATGTGATCTCGACTCTGCGCTCCCGAAACGATCCTGGCCACGAAAGTCACGACTTTTTGTACCCAATAGAGACAGCAGGCGGCGGTCCCGCCCTAGGCTGAGAGGCGGTGTAGGATATGGGGAAAAAGATGGTCAAGATAAGGTGCTTGCGAACTCCAGGTGTGAGGTGATGAATTTTGTATGGACGAAATAGGATGGAGTGGCACGTTTGCCTGATTTGGATATGTGGTTCTCCTAGGATAGGGCACGACGACTGTCATTTCCAGCATCTTCACGCGAGAGGGGGGGGGGGGGGGGGTGGGATTAATATTAGATTGGACATGTTACGATGGGAGGATGAGCTTTTTCACAGACTGGGGTGTGCCGACTAGAAGAAATGTGGTCTTGGCAGGGTCCACCTTCAGGGCATTGGCAGTGAAGTGGGAATGGAGGGCAAGGAGGGTTTTCTCCTGTCGACATTTTATGGTGGACCAGTGATTGGGGTGGGCTGAGCCGAGGAGTTGGCATCGTCGGCATAGGAAACCGTGCCCGTGGGGCAGGTACGATGGAAGGTCGTTTGTGAAGATGGTGAAAAGGGTTGGACTCACCGGGGACCCCGGAGGGACACCATGGGACAAGGGAAGGAATAGTGAGCCACGTCTCGCCACCGGCCGCCGTCCATCGAGGTAACTTTGAAACCATCACGTGTTGATGCCGTGCCAATGCAGCTTGGTCAGGGGGATACCGTGGTCAGCGTTGCCCAGGGGTGAAAAAAACTTCCGATTCACCGGATATGGCCGGTGACAAAAAACCAACACTTTTGAGAGCCAATCGATGACAAAATTGCGAAAATGCAAACAAATTGCAATACACCGGACCACATGCAACAGACCATCCCAGCTCGACGGAGCTCAAGGCTTAGTATTCGTCTGCACGCGCTAACGCCTGCAGCGTGAGCATGTGCAGAGCACATGTCGGAACGTTGGCGTTTCGCGGTATGAGCAGGTTGAGCCATGAGATGCTGTCAAACATAGTAGTTTTAATCGGGACATTTTTTGCAAGTGACAGAAACATACTGTTAACTATAGTTTATCAGCGCCGACGTCACAGATCAGTGATGACAAAGTGCTCCTTCAATATCCCTCAGATCAGTGCTTTTCACAGATGTTTGAGCCAAAATTCACCACGCGTACTAAACAGCATAAAGTACCAAATAATTAGGCTTATTACTAGTCCTGAAAATCGTTGCTGGCCACAGCATCTTGCGACGAACGTGATCAGTTTGCTGTGCAGCGTTTTAAAGCGTCGTGCCATTTCGGACAGATGAGCTTGAATGCTGGCCGTGCGGTAATGCGTTGGGTTCATTGCAAGGCTATGGGCTGCTGTTGATTGTGTTCATGTGGTGAGAAGCTGACTGGCTGGAAGAACGTATCTAATGTCAGTTTTCTAAAAAAATATGATAAGTTTAAAAAGCCCTGCCAGTCTACGAGGGTTATTGTTTGTGGACACCTGAGCTGTGGCTTCAGAGACCAACAGATGACTTTGAAGCGACACGTGTCAAGGATTCATCTAGGGCTTCCTGCTGCTGTGAGGGGCAGCAGCTTTGAGATATGAAGTCGAGCATCGCTGGTGTAGGCCTCTCATACTCCCTGTGGCACGACAGACTTAGCGTGCTAATCGGTGGACAGGCGGGAGATAAAAGCTTTTTATGGTCGTCAAACTGCATATAAAGCCAAATGAAGGCGCTAGAGTGGTTCAAAAATGTTATTTGCGTCTGTTGATAAAAACTTTGCATGGGTTTTGCTCCAGATAATTGAGATCACGTGCGAGTTCTGCACCGGTACTAATCATGCTAAGATAGTGAAGGTCGCCAGCGTTTTTTTTCTAGTTCATTGTACGACATCACATAACCTTAAGTGATATTTTCCGGTGCTTGTACAACCATGCTATCGGTAAATGTAGGGCTATAGGGATGCAGTTTGCAAAATACGTAGGGGTGAGTGAGAGAGAGCTGGGAGGGGGTGTGGCAGAAAGAAAAAAGGGCTACACCTGCCTCCGAAATGCACTTAAACAGTTTTCTCCCAAGATCTGACGCACTGTCTGTTCACAGTTGGGGACAAGGTGCAGTATCTCAAAATTAGTTTTGCAGGGCTGAACTCTAAAAATCATGATGGAAAATAATGGTTAAAAAGCGATTTCCAAAAATAGGAAACTGCACGCCTGGTTAGGATGCATAATCCCTCTCCAATAACAAAAAAGGAAATTATACGCCTCTAGGCTGGTTCTATTAAGTACGACTTCATCTGATAATTTAATTGGTTTAGTCTCAATCATCATTCGGTGTTTGATGGCCAGTAAATGATACTTTAGTGCGAATGACTACCCGAAATGAAAATGCCTGACGGCTATGCCGCGTTGCATTACATTTATCTTTGTTTTTGTGATTTATCGCAAGTAGAATTATAATGCAACGGTTTCTTGAAAGATTTGGCCCCAGGTGACAATTTAGACGGTTCCAAATTTGCTCGTGACAGAAAAGGCGCCCTTTCATCCCTGGCGCTGTCGATAAGTATATTTCACGTCATCTTTAGGCCAACGCTAGATGCATTGTGGTCACTCCACGACGTTTTGACTGGAGTGGGTGCAACTGGGCGGGTGCAGCGCTGAGTGCAACCCGCTTCAAATTTGACAAATGAGTCAGGTCTGTGAGTGTTAGGTCCTACTTACCATCAGATGCGGCAGCTCCATTCTCCACTCTGTTATTATGTGCTGCTAGTGTAAACAACAGGTGGCCAGCGCCCGCGCCCGTCCGAGCGCCCGCCGCATACCGGACATGGATACCATGCACGTGAAAAGGTCCTTTGGTGATACAGTTTGACACCCGATGCCAGTATCATCGCGTGCACGATCGCCATCGTTTGGGATAACACGAGACTTTGTTTTTGTGCTACAGAATATGCGCTACAGCTGCGACTGGCTGCATGGGACGGTCGAAAAGTATAATAAATAAAAAATATAATATAAAATACAGTAAAAAGATACTAAAAATATGTTTGTAACAAATAAAAAGATAATAAATAAGATTGCAGCCATACACGACAACACCGTTTCGTAAAAATGGGGAAGCCATAGATGGCTTTTTAATTTCAAACTGAGTTCTGTGCTGTTTTTGTCATGTCGACGCCGCTTTAACAAAGATGCGAATCTCATCACAATAATGCGAAGGCGTTTGGCCTGCACACAGTTTTGGTAGAATATACCCCAATTTACATTAAGATACTATGATTCGTTCGGTACCCTCCTCGTGCATGGAGTTGTCTTTTTGCTCCGAGATAATGGTGCAAGCATCGGCCGTAACACTGATCCAAAGGGACGCAGCTTTACCCTGGCGTTGATTCACCTGTGCAGCTTGTTTGGCCAATACGCTACGGTGGAAGACCAACGATAGTCACTAAGCTTTTTTTGTGAAATCAGCATTGGAGCTTTAATTCATCGTAGCTGTGGACTGCGGGTCTATATAAAGTGTTAGTGAACGGTTCTAAACCCTATGCAACCTATTGAACGAGCTTGGCGGAGCTGAAACCCAACGAAACTCGATGGAAGACATTTAAATCAGATCTGACTCACACAATCTATCACAACTTAATCAGGCATGTGTCTGGTTCCCAGTATTGGTGTCTGGCTCCCTCACCTTTATGAAAACGAAACCCCGCATCCTGGTTCCGGTCGATTCTTCCACAAACACAAGTCCCTGTTTCCTGGATCCCATTGATCTGTTCACAAACGTCGGACTCTGGCTACTGTTTCTCAATGGCCCCTTCACAAAACGTAGCATGCGTGTATGGCGGCTGGTCGCCCGGTCGTCTAAGCATCTGCTGCTGCTGCTCCTGCTGTGTGCCGCGGACCGCCCGGCTTTCTTGGAATTGGGCGGCACCCCAGCCAGAATCCAGTAACCAGGGCCCCAGCCAAGAAACCGTGGCCCACTAACCGTAGATCTAGTAACCGTGGTCCCAGCCAAGTAACCATGGCCCAGAAACCGTGGCCCAGTAAACGTAGATCCAGTAACCGTGGTCTCACCCAAGTAACCATGGCCAAATAAGCGTGGCCCAGTAATCGTAGATCCAG